TGAATCTTCCCAGCAGCCTGCTCAAACATTTGTTTGCATTCAAACAGTGTTGCAGGCCCTGTGCAGTCAAATGATCTGAAACTGTTCTGCTCTAATCCAATCCTTTAAAATGTTTCAGCCTGGCAAATCTCAACTTCAAACCCATAGAGATGAATTAGGAAAAATCTTCCCAAATCTAAAAAAGAAACGTCGGATGTGATCCTTTTGTATTCTAAATATTTATAAAATACTTATGATAAATTACAGGATGCTTTTATTTTCTTCCTCCTAGACAAACACTGTGAATAAGCTGCCTGCAGTGATGCAGAAGGTAAGTAACATCAGTTTACTCTGACTTCATGCTGCAAATCTTAATTTGATAGGATGCAAGTGAATGATTTATAGTTTTAAAATTGTGTTAATAAGCTTGTGATTGAACTGGATGTGCAGCTTGTCATCAGTTATCCGCCAGTGAAGTTATGGTCAAGTCATACCCCTTTGTTTGTTTGACTTGACTTCATCAGGGACCAACGGCAGCATCAGATGGAGAGAGGCTTTAGGAGGGAGAAGCTCAATGAATTTAAGTTGTTTCTGAGGCACGGAAACATCGTTACTGAACTTTCTCGCATCCCAGATGACAAACTGGAGAACACAGACCAGTCAGGCCTGTTCGATCTCTTGCGTAGACTTACACTTAGCAGTCTGTGGAAGTGACCAAAGATTTTTTTCAAGAAATGTAAAAACCAAGACCTGGTGTATATGCCATCAGACATCATGATCCAAAGTTTCTTTTAAAAACTCACTGTTTATCTAATAAAATGTTTTGCCTTTTGATTGCACAGAATGTGGTCCATCCATCCATTCTTTATTTATTTATTGTCACTTGTTTAGATGCAGGTAGTGGGGGAATGTCTTCACAGACATTCAGGAAGAATCCTTATCAGATGCACATGAGTCAACAGAACCACAGTATAACACATGGGTTGGTGTTATATATACATGTACATTATATATAATATACAAGTATAATGGTGCTGACTGAGCCATAAAGCAGTAAAACTCTGTCAAGAAGTTACTACAGCTATTTTCTTCAGAAGAATGAAATTAATGGAGAAAAGGTTTTGTCGGGAAGTTGCCGATAACGAGCTGCAGGGCCGGAAGTGATGACGCATTCAGGGTCCATAAATTGCACTTCGTATAAAATGTGTATGAGAACTATAAGGATTCAAGGAGCTTGTTATTCGCATCACATGTTTACATGAGATGGAACGAAATTATGTGCATACAGTCCCGGAGCGAAAAGAAACAGAATTTAAAAAAAAAACAGAATTTAAAAAGTATTAAATAAATAGTTTTGGGGTTTTTGTTTTTGTTTTTTTACAAAACAGAAAAACAAGTAATAAAATCATACAATAAATAGAGTACCAACCTGAGTACAAGTATGGAGTATGCATATAGAATGTAGGTATAAATACTTTAGCAGCAAAAGGACATGATGAACCAGCATTGAGACGGTGTCACTTGATCAATGCTGGTGTCACAAAGCCTACAATATAGTTTCAAATTAACGGTGACGATGGGGGGGGAATGCCACTGATTCTTACGGGGTTAAGACACGTTTTGCTCCCTGGGACCTGACACCACACACGTGTGGAAAACAAATGACCTCTGAGCAGCTGGGGGCGATGCTGGTGACAGGATAGACGCTGAATACAAAGGAAACAAACGCAGACGTGAGCTGTGTTAATTATGTGGAATGATCTTGACTTTAATGGATCCTGCTATTCTAAATGTTTAAAGGCGACTGTGAGAAATGAAACTGGATGATGCGGAAAAAAGTGGATGTAGTTATTAATATTATTATTCATATTATTATTGAGTTGTCTTAAATTATCTGAACTATATTAACTAATCTTAATCCAAAAGTCTTTCAGTGCCAGTAAATAAAGCGCGACAATGGCTATGATGTCTTTGAAGTGAGAGCTGCTGCTGAGCTCTTTCATTTCATGACCAGACTTCACACCTGGAGGATGTAACTCTGCAGGAGGTCGAGCTTCACACCTCTGCCTCGTACTAAAAAGAGCTGAAAGAGTAAAAGGCCTCCGGGTTTCCTTTAATCTTGAGACAATCATGTGACATGTTTTTAAAGATTTATTTGGTTGTTTTAACTTTGAAGAGTACAGCTCGCCATAGGGAGAAATCCAGAATAAATTATTGTGCAAAAACCGACCAGAAATATCTTCAGATTGAATACATGTGATGTTGTACACAGAGACACAGATGTCGCTCGTTCCAGCAGAGAGGTGACTATGAAGGTCTGCGTGGGTCTCCCAGCCTCGAAAACCCTGAGCTTCCACACCTGGAAATGTGATGGATGGACACTCAGTCATTATCCACTACCGCAGCATGCTCTTTAATCATGACGGCACATAGTAGCAGCTTTTAGTAGTGCATCAAAGAGGACAAAATCTCCTCGGCTTCGTGAAACTCACCTCTTCACTCGCTCTTCAGCGCAGCAATCCCAGCTGGACCGCTCGGCTGATCCAGCTCACCTGTGTCGCAGCCTGAGAGAGTCCCCGTTCCCCTGAGCCACTTACATGGCTGACTGAGCTCATTGAAAAGTATTTAAAACAGTGAATCAACCCTATTACACATACAGGTCAAGTCATACTCGGGTATTTACAATATTTACAGGACCTGAAGTTATGCGTCTTCATAAGACTACAGTTTTTAAAAAGAAGTTGTGTGTTTTTGCTGAATAGTTTATAGTCATTGATAGCTCTGAAGTCGCTGCCTGGTGATCAGGGCCAAGGTCTCCACAAATTGTGGCTGGACGGGGAGCTCTGGGCTGAGCTCTGTTTGGTCGCTCCTCTCTCCGCTCTGATCTCGGACTCTCTTTGTTTCTGAGGCTGTTTGGGGACTCTGGGAAACCTTTGTTGGAGTGGGAGTGGGTAAGGTCGGATCAAACGTTTCTCCCCTGAGGCACGTGCCGGGAGTCTGAGCTTGGACTTCTGCCTCAGCACCCGCAGAATAAACTTTGCGTGCGGCAAAAAGTTTCTGCTTTGGAGACCTTCGGGCTGTGAGTGTGAACGGGCCAAACGAGCGGCAAAAGCTGCATCCAGCGCCGATCCGAGCTCCGACCCTTTCCTCTCGGGGCCCAGAAACCCCGCAGCTGTCTGCAGGCAAGTGGAGAAACCGTCCTGGAAGGAGCGTTTCTGGTCCCCACGTCCACCTGTAGCCTCGTCTCCTTTGGCAGTGTTCTGGAGGAAGAGGACTGTGTGCTCCAGTATCTCAGCTTTCTCCACTCGGTGCTGAGTGGACCCCTGCATGAGAGCAGCAAGTTAACCTTCATGTTTCATAATAATAAAAACCACAAGTATGAACCACATCGATTTATTTCTATAAAATTCATAGATAATTAAAAACTTCTTACTTCTTGTGGCTCCTGCAGCAACATGGTCCTCAGACACTCCAAACTGCGGTTCATCCTCTCCCTCCGACGTTTCTCCACCTGAGATTTTATTAACTATTGCAAAAAAAAAAGAAAACCAAAGTCTAAAAGTGGTTTCCTGATTTTGTTTAATTATATACCGCGTAAAAAGAAAAACTACCGAAGAAAAGCAAAAAAAAGGAGTAAATGGAAATGACTAAATGATTCGAGGGAATTCAGCTCACTAAATTATACAAACTTTTTCTCCAAATTACTGAAATTTTGACAAAGCTGATGCTTTAATCCTCAATGAATCTGATTGTTATCGTGATAATAACAGAGAATCTCTATATGAAATGAAATCACGTCACTTGACAGGTATCTGGACTTCCTTTACCTTTCTGTTATTTGTTGCTTCCTCCGCTTCATGTAACAGCTTCCTACCAACCGATGGTCCCATGTTCTGCTCTGGTCTACTGGTTACAGCTTCCTTCGCAGTCTGTCACTGATCTGGAAATGAGGCTCTAGTTTCCTGCCACTTATTTTTACTGTGGTCCTGACAGTAAAAATCTCTCAGACTCCTCCTACTTCCCTACCCCTCCTCCAGGTCCATTGGTCTCACCGTTTGGTAACACTGCAAATGAAAAAATCCCAGATTTGTTTTTATTTTTGAACTTGTCTAATCTCGATCTGACGTCAAGAGTATAAAACAAGAAAATGAATCGAATGCGCAGCCGCGTGCGTAAAGTTAAAAAAAAGTCTTGCGTCAAAACGTTTGAAAATTTAACTTAAAATAAACATCATTTTACTCCAGATGCTGTTCTGTTTTTTCCTGCTCTTGTGCTTCATTTGAAAAAGCTGGTAACTCATTTTGCTTTTGGGGGGGCTATTTGCGCATGCAAAGCTGACACGTGCCTTAATCAAGAAAAACTTGCTTTTTAGGAGCGACGGTGTGATCCTATGACCACTTTTCATTTCAGAGCTATTTTAAGTTGAATAAAAAACAATCACTATAGGAGGAGAAAAATTTTCAGATTTTTCGCGAGCCAATATACTTAATTCAGAAAATTCTTTAATTTGTACAGAGAAAGCAGCATCGAAATGATCGAGATATTTCTCGTGGGAAAGGAGGAATTAGCGCTGCATTTACAGCTACCTGTTAAAATTGACACAACTCTGAAAACGAGAGGCGACACTTCCCACGTTCGCACGCGTATTTTCCACTTTTTACAGTCCAGACGCTTTTCTTTCCAAGTTCCTTAGAATTCCCAGCGACATTCATGCAAATAAGATACAGACAGAAATAATTCTAATAAATAATATGAACAGATCTTTAAATTAATGCAGTTAAATGCCAGGGAACAACTAAAAAGCGGTCTTCATGTAGTCAAAGTTGTTTCGTCAGTTTTAATTCCTGTTCCCTTAAATCTACAGATACAAACATTTAGTCACTAAAACAGCAACACATAAATGCCAGCCCGTTTATCACCGACTCACTGTCACTGTGAAAATAGACCTTTTGTCGCACAGTATCATGCAAATAATTATTCCTGACCACCGATAAAGGTTATGTGAGGTTTGTGAATCACCTCAGGATGACTTTGATATTCGCCTTCAGAGTGTGGCAACATGAGGCAACAGACACGTGCCAAAATACAACGACTATTCAGTAGATCTTTATTATTATTCACGTAAGTAAGATAGATTATTAGTAATGACAAATACGCCGTTATTAGAATTAATTGATAAAGTTTTTCAGAAGCTCACTAAAACCTACTACAGGTAGGAATACATCAATAAATGTGACTTTTAAGTTCATCCCTCCACAACTGGTCGCTGATATAAGATGTAACAAATATAAACATGTATGCATATATTTAATTATTTATTAAGGCATCGAATTTCCTTTAAACGTTTTACTTTTAATACATTTGGAGTAATTTTGGAGATGCATGCAGACTGAATGGCGCGTCGAGCTTGGAGTTTTCCCTAATCCTCTGGCGCGTGCAGCTCCCATACAAGTGGGGGAGGCACGAGCCTTTGAAATGTGTTATCAGCCCGTCTGAGACTTTCCTTGCATATGTGACAAAAGAGCCGCCCACACAGCGTGAAGCTCAGGTAAATCACTCCGACCTTTTAGGCCATTATCGTGTACAGAGAAATGAGATGTGTCCTTATAAAACAGGCTCTGGGGTAAAATGGTTATGGAGACAAAGCCGAGGCATCTTTCAAGTGTCGAGGTTTTTAGCAGTGAGCAAAAATCTGCAGCAAGAAAAAGTCTCATGTTGTTCCTATATTTTTTCTATATTCATTTCTGTAGATATTTGTCTTTTAATCATGACTGTATAACAACAAATGTGCACAACATGTTTCGCCGACTAAGAGTCAGGAAAGTGTATTCTGAATTTGAGGGAGTGCGTAATTTTTTTAGGTGCATCCCTGAAAACGTGTGAAAAAGGGGACTGATATCAAAAGGTAACAGTAGCCTGTTTGTGTGTTTAATGTAAATATGTAATTTTCTTGTTTTCCGTCTCCTCTCCCAAAGACTCTTCTTTAGGATGTATCACTTCTAACACGTAATAAAGTGAGAAACTATTCTACAGTTGGATTCCCATGAGAGAGAGTTTGGTGAGGTATCCCACGGTAAACGATGGCGATAAAAGTGTGAATATCCATTACATATCCAGCCAAACTCAATCAACATCAGCTTGTATCTGTTGTTAGATAATCTAAAAGGGATTTAATGTTAATACAACTTTTCAGTTTGGATTTCTGAATTGTTATGAGAGGTCTGCAAAGGGATCTTCAAAAGAAACCGTGACGCTAAATTCCATATTTTTACGCGGGACTCTTTAAATGGTTAAGTTTGGTTAAATGATCACAAAAATGAGAACCTATTTGGGGATCTTGTGACAAGGTCTAACGTGTGCTGTGCGTGGGAATCCAAGAGTCACCTTTCCTCCAAGCACACTTTGTAAATGAAGTATCAGTTTTAACAGGTAATAAAGTGAAGATTGAGCCTGCTGCTCCACATTCCCACGGCCAGAAAGAGCTGCATGAAGCAGTTTCCCACTGTCACACTTTTCCAACATTTGTCTGCTTAGTGCTGTGCGTCACGACAAATGTGCATCTACCAAATTAAAAGCATGTTTTGTCACATGGTTTGGAAAACACCGGAACACTTGCTTTACGCACCTCTAAGTCTCACCATTAATATGTAATCAGTTGCAAATAAAACACATTAGTACTAAATACATCCAAAGTAAAAAATATTTTTTATGTACACTGGCATTAATAATAGGGTGTATTAGTATATTTGCTAGTAGTAGATGGGCTACCTGCTTCCGGTAGACAGCTTTTCGGGGTGACCAGATATATCTGAGCTCTGATTACGCAAAGGAATACACAAAGAAATTTAAATAAATCCAATAATTTTCTTTCACAGCAATAAAACAATAAACTTAAATAAATTTAACTAAATATACAAATTTATGTTGTCAGAGTTGTCATGTAACTTAGTGCAGAAATAATACCACATTTTGTAGTGTGCGTAAAAGTGCTTTAACGCTCACTGATTACATTTAATTCCACCTGTTTACAGACCTGCCTTCGCCACGATTCTTTTATCATGCAAGTCATTTACACCTCTGCAGCTGGCAAATGCGCCTGGGAACCCAAATGCAGACGTGTAAGTGACGTGCACACCTTGTGCTATTTTTCGGGATGTATCAATTTTAACACTTAGCTGTCAGCGCAACTCTGATTCAGTCTTCCCACAAATACGCTCCTTCATCTGAAGAAAGGCATTTATTTAAAAAAAAGAAAGAAAGAAGAGGAAAACAAAGCAGAAAAATATTTTTTGTTCTGATTTAATTCAAATAGTAGAAAAAAGTCAAGAATGAAAATAACGATTTTTCTCTTTTTGTCAGTAGAAATCAAAACAATTCCAATTGTAGCCAGACAACGGAAACGGAGAATTTCGAGTATAACAACAATAATTAATAAATAAATGAAATCTGTGCTGAGAACCATTCATCTGATAATTATTTAACTTAAAAATAATGAGACCAGAATATCTGCAGGACGTTTCCTCGGAGCAGTAGCTGCTGGCCTTGGACGTCTCCAGAAAGAGGTCAGTGTTTTACGCATCACTGCACTGAGTGCAAAAGTGAAAAGCTCGCACATCTCATCATAACTCATTTCTGCAGTCCCAAAAGCAGAATCTGACTGTTATTAAAAACGTGCGTCATCAAAGGCGATTCAGTTTTTATGGTATTTTACAATTATAGTGATCCTGGGAGCGGGATGGGGGTGTGTGGGGTGGCGATGGAGGTTTTAAAATCTTATTTTGGAACAAAGTCGGCAAACATTTTAAGCAGTTTTAATCTCATTTTATTGCTGACTCTATGCACGCAGTTTCATTTAATTAAAGTTATTTTAGATTTCAGTTTTTAAGTACCAAGAGTTGTTTGAGTGCTGCTGCACAGTTGCAGGACTTGCTTCTACAAAGACTTTGGTTTTATCATTAACTCTTGATGATCGTGAGTTGAAAAAATATGATAGATAAAGAACTTATGATAACTTAAGAATGCGCAGACTGTGGATGTAAATTAACGAGAAAAAATCCACAACATGTCAACAAAAAGTCACTTTATTGCATGCATCCCTGACATCTCTGCGCAGCTACGCATGTGTTATTCATTTATTTTTCCTTGAACATTTCTTCAATGAATACCAGCTGTTGCATGTTTGAGTAGAATTCATCTTAGACGTTCAACTTTATTATTTACAAAATCTGAACATGCCATATAAGAGAACATTTACAACAGTATCCCTCAATCTTAACAAAACAAGAAAACAATTATTTACACGAGGCTGATTTTAAAAAAAATAATTAAAAAAGAGGTAATAAGGGAAGGAATATCTCTCTATGCTGTTGTGTATTAGTCTGACACCAATCCACTTAAGAAGCAAAGAAACACTGGATACAAACAATTAAAGTCCAGCTTAGGGCTTTGCACCGAATGACAAACTAAAACTGGGTGTCTCTAAAGGAGGCTGAATTTCCTCTCCTTTCCTACAGGGCTGTTTGTGTGGAGTCAGTCATGTTGTTTAACCTCTCACTTCTGGACTTCTGCTCCGAGTTTGTTGAACTCCGTGCTGCTTGCTCTACTCTAATAACACTGTCTCCATTTGCAGCTGGCTGGTGTTCTGGTGGGGTGGCAGCATCGGTGGGAGGGGAAACAACTACTCTCTCTACGGGCTCATTGGGTGCTCTGTCTGACACTATAAGGTAATTGGGTTCTGGCTGGTGGGCGCTAGAGCGGCGCTGCAGTGCGTGCTGGGTGCAGGAAAAGGAACGCTGCCGAGGGGCAGGCTGGGGGGACAGGAAGTAAGGCGTGGCAGCTCTGGGGACTTCCTGATGCCTGTCACGGTCCTCGTCTTCTGATGTTACCTCTTGTAAGGTGCTGATTGGCCGAGGGGAGCGGCCCATGACCCGTGGAGGAACGAGAGCTGTTGCTGACTGGTTGAGCTGGGGTCGCCAGTTCTGAGGAGGAGGGTACTGCACTCGGCCCATGGACCAATCACTGGCAAGACAAGAAGGTCATCATAACATTAGACAGCATAAAAACAAACAAAAAAACCTAAAGAGGTCTTTGGGAGTGAATCCTTAAAACTGGAAATAACTGGTATTTTTGCAGTTCTGGGTATGGACATCAAAGACTTCACGTTTTTGGTGTAAAAGCCTGAAATAAGGTCTTGGTTAACACAAGCTTATGTCCAAATGAATGTCTAGATCTTCATTTTTTCTCCTGCAAATTCATAAATTACATAAAATAATGTCCCACTCATTAAATTTGAAGCTTTTACATTAATAAAATATTAATTTTATATATTAATGTGCCAGTTTTGGTAACTGAAACAGCAATATATTATCTCTATTTTACTCAGTGCTAATTTCTAGGTGTCTCTGTTGGTGCAAAGAACTTATACATACACATGCAGCCACGGATGCACCTGGCTAAACCAAGCTAGCAGGTGTTAGCTGATAACTTAGCATTTCACCCATGTTGTCATTTCTTACCCCAAGAAAACAAAGATGGCAACAGCCACAACATTCATACTGACGCACAGTGGCCATATTTTATGTACAGTCTATGTTAACAATATCTTGGATGAAAAATCAGCTAAAAACTTTAATTTTGTGACTTCAGCGTATCATCGAATGAATCCCCAAAGAAGTTCAACTATAACTATAGGAGATATTCACATTTGTTTTTATTTTCTTTCTTCTTCTTTTTGTTTTTTATGTGTTAAAATCATTATCTATTTTATTTTATGACATATTATCTCACATTACCAGGCCCTTACTATCCACATGTGCGAATATTTGCTAAAAGGTTTTATTCCCACTGCTGTCAAGTGCTTGCTCAAATGGGGTCGTTTGATTGTTGGTGTTTTGTATTATTGTAGGGTCTCTACTAGAGATGGACCGATCTGATATTATGTATCAGTATGGGTCCGATACTGACCTAAATTACTGGATCGGATATCGGAGAGAAATAAAAAATGTAATCCGATCCATTAAATATCATGAAAGCAAAGCACCTCACAAAACTTGCGACACGGCGTAACTCAGCTCATAACCGTAGCAAGTCGGAGCAGTGTGGTCACGTGATAGAGCGGCTGTGGCGTGAACTCTGGTTGAGCATTTGGAGCCTCGCTACCAAACCGGCATTTCATCTCCGAGGAAGTTATCCCAGAGAGAAGTAAAGCAAGTGTGTAAGTTCATCTCTGAATGTTTGTAAAGCATTCCCACGTTAAGCTTAACAACCGATATATGGAGCGACTGCCTCTCCTGTTGCTACTTCAATCGTGAAACTGATCAATGATCAGCTGTTCGGCTTTTCTGTCGCGAGCCCGTCTCTCTTGTTAGTTTATCGCCCACTTTGCACCAGAAACAGGAAACCAGCGGCTGAACAACAGCAGCAGCTTGATAAGCTGTTGTTAGAATTTATTTAATATTACTTTCTACACCAGGATCTTTTTCTACATAGCTGACGGCTGGTAACTGTGCAGGGGCGGATCTAGCAAAATTATGCAGGGGGGCCGATAGGGCATTAACAGGGAAAAGGGGGGCACAAAGAAATACTTTTCTTTCTTATTCTCATTTAAAATGTCTAGCTTTTAATAAATAATTATCTGAATCTTACACCCAAAGTTTTAATCTGATGTAAAATGTATAGAAGTCCATTACTGTATATAGTAACTGTTAAGTCTAATATACCCTAGTAAGCTATACTACTTTTTCCTTTGGGAAGATACCATCTGTGCAGTCTGCAATTCTTTTGAAGAAAGATGTTGAATCTATTTAATTATTGTGGAAAAATAAAAAATTTAATGTGAATTTTCTTTACACGTGCATTAAATTAAAGTTGATTGCGTCGATTAAGCATCATGAGGCAGAGGGGGGTGGTTCCCTATTTTTTTCTGCTGTTAGTTGACAACCCTGTTAGTTAGGCTGCTTAATATTTCCGCTAAGTACTCTTTAAAACACCAGAATAGGGAGGATGGTGCAGGTTTAAGTGTATTAGATTGATCAGTATTGCTGAACTATGAAATATCTTGGGGGCAGTGTATTTTTTCCATACAGGTATAACAGAATAGCTTTAGTGTTTTGTTTTGTTTTTTAACTTGAGTATGAACTTGTACAAAATGCAGCAAGATATTTAAAAAAAAGTTTTATTGATTAAGAAATACACTATATCGGATTCATATCGGTATCGACAGATATCCAAATTTATGATATCGGTATCGGACATAAAAGAGTGGAATCGTGCCATCTCTAATCTCTACCTTGGAGTATAAAGCGCCCTGAGGCGACTGCTGTTATGGTTTGGTGTATATGAATAAAACTGACTCGAATACGTTACCCTGTTGCCATAACACAAAAATTTCCCCTGTAGAGCCTATAGAGTATCGATCCATCCATCTATCTAGCTAAACCTGTTGAGTTAGCTATAATTCCAAAATCTTACTTTTGTACTGGTGGGGTCATATCCCGATGCCCTATGATACCAGAGAAGGAGGCACTTCTTCCAGGCAGGCCTTGTGAGCCCACCCACGGTGAGTACATCAGAGTGCGCTCCTCCCACATCATGTCGCTTCCCGTGTCCACAGGGATGGGTCCTCTCTGGATCTCATGAGCCAACAGGAGTTCCAGCACTTGGTGACGCATTCCCTCTCTGGCCACGTCAATTGGCCGGCGTCCCCTCCGGTCGTGCAGCTCAAGATTGGCACCATGAAGAAGAAGAAGTCTGGCAGTGTCATAGCAGCCATGGAGGGCAGAGAGGAAGAGTGCTGTTTCGCCCTAGCAAAGAAATAATCAGGAATACCACACATTACTTATATTTACGAACACTTAATGCTTCAGAAATTCAAACATAAATGTTACTTCTGTTTGCAATTCAAAACTCTAAACAACAGAAGTGATGCAAAATAAATGTCAGGATTAAAAGTCTTCACTTACTAGAGAAAATCCATCAGAGCTTACCTTATTGTCTTGTAGGTCCACAGCAGCACCGTAGCGAATGAGGGTCCTTGCTAGTGAGAGGTGGTTTACTGAGCATGCCCAGTGCAGGGCTGATCTCCCTGAGAGAGACAGTGTGAGTGGAGGGGGAGGTTGACAGGGGAAGAAGGGAGGGAGTAAGTCAGCCAGTGAACAACTATTACACAACGAGCCCAGAGGATGAGGAGAGGGAGGATGAAGGCAGGGGATGACCTGCCTCAGCCAAACTGGAAAAGAGATGACGGGATATAAAGGTGGAAGAATAAGAGCTGCAGAAGGAGATAGACAGAGACACAGAGGCACAAAGGAAGGTAAAAGTAAAAAAAAGGAAGCATGAACACCAAAGCTAATATGTCCATCGACTTGAGTTTAAGTACTAGAGCACATTAACTTTGTTCTGAGTCAGAGGAGGGCAGCAGGGGAGCTGGAGGAGGAGAGAGAGGAAGTGATGGAGGTCACAGACAGCAGAGGACAGGACAGGAGGGACACAAAAAGAGGACGTGAGAGAGATGGGGTAAGTTACAAGTTACTCAACCCCTCCGCGTACAGGTGTCAGAAAAAAATGACTTACTCATGAGCTGTACATGTTTGGGTTCAGGAGGCAGACATCCTCTCTCTTAGTTATTCTGCTACAGGCTCAGACTGCTCATACTCCACATTCCTCTCTTTCAGCCACTGTGCATTGATACACCACTACTGCATGTCTTGTGTATCTCTCTGTACCTTTCTTCCATCTATCTCTGGGTCAGAGATTTTGGTCTGTAACTGCTGCCGCACCACTGGGCAGGTGTTTAAGATTTGCATTGTGTGTTATTTGTGTGCTGTTGCACCCCAGCTATGTCAGGGGAGATTAGCCCTGCTTCTGTCATTGGCTTAATCCTGTTAAAAGGTAGTTTTAGGTACTAGGTTTATTTTTGTAACAGATATCAGAACTTTTACTTTGCCAAGTGCCTAAAGATAACATGTGTTTGACTATATCTCTGAGGAAGGTTCTGCCAGAGGTCTCTTCCTGTTAAACAGAAGTTCTGACTGTCTGATCATTGAGGGTCTCTCTCTGTTTTGAACTGGTGCTATATAAACTAAATTTAAACTTCAATCCACTCT